CAAATACTGTTTAACGCAAATCACACCCCAATTTACGCCTCACACAATTTAGTGATAAGCATGGAGCCAATCATTTGATTACAACAATACTTAATTTCTAAGACTTACTACAGTGGGAAAAGCTTTAAACTTTGCTTAGGAAAGAATGACGACGGGTGCACAGAGGTAAATAGATCTAACTCCAAATTAAGTCCAGGAACACTCACAAAAAAAGAAACATGCTTGTTCCCAAAAGCCACATGCTAAGTGTAGGTCTGCAGAGGTACAGAGCTGCTTCCTCGGGACACAACTGTAGCACAAGGGACTAAAACATCACACATGAGCATCGGTGCCGGTAAGGACTGTCGTTCTCTGCCGATTAAAACCGAGTGAACCCACCTCCAAACGCCACTTTACGAAAGGCCAATTTCACTGATTAAAAGAAGAACTTACACGCCATGGATCCGCTTGTGAATGTTGATGGTATATTCCCTAGTTACCACCTCATTGATGGCAGAGCGTCCCTTCTTCTTCTCGCCACCTTTCTTTGCAGGAGCCATCTGAGCAACGCTGAAAGGCATCCATGCACGCATCAAACGTAGACCCAGCTTCCCTCAGACTTTTCCCCGGTCACCTTCCCTCCCATCGTCCCCAGCTCCCTACAAGCCACACAATTCCCCCAGTGAGAAACTTTAAACTTAAGCTTAATCCACCCCCGGGGTTGCACCAGTTGCGGATTTGACACGGCAACTTTTCCGCATCACACATGCATTAATTACTCTCATCTCCCCGAGAGAAACGTGAAACATGTCTGAGACTCCTCGACTACTCCCCATGAAGACCGGGCTCCTGGCCAGCCCCAAGGGCCCCTAAGACCACCCCGTCCTGCTTCTGTGTGTCCGGACCCCTTCCTTCTCCAAGGCGACCCAGAAGGGCAGCTCAGCCCGTCCCGGAAAGGAGACGACGCTGCCACATAGGCTCCTTCCAGGGACTGACGGCGGCCTACGGCTTCCCCCCTCCCTCGCCAAGGCCCAGCCGGGGCCGTAACTCCCCCACAAGTGCCCCGCAGGCCTCCCCGGGCCTGCGCCCTGCCCAGCTCGGCGCAGGCCCGGGGCGGGGGGGGGCAGGGAGATGGGCCCCAGCCCCGCCGAACGCGGACCCGCCGAGAGGTACCACCCGGTGCCTCCCGCACCGGACCGCCCCCCGCGCCGACCCAGACCAAGGAACCCCTCCCGCCGCGGGGTCTGCAAGGCAGATGGAAGCGGATTCGGCAGGCCAACCCCCAGCAATGGCCACTCACCCTGCCCGGGTACAGGCCGGAAAGGAGCGCGCAAGGGACTGTGGGAACGAGGAGCCCTTCCGGGATGCGGGGCGGGCGACTGCGCCGGCGCCAACCGGAGAGGCGCGCGCCGGGGCTGGAGGGCGGGGCTCAGGCCGGCGAGCGGACGCGCATGCGCCTGAGGGCTCGGCGTCTGTCAGCGGGGAGCGAGCGGGCGGGAACCCGCGGCTGCTTCCACACACCCCCCCCGCTCCCACACACACAGCCCGGGGGGGTCCGCTGACCCCGGGGGGGAGCCGTCCCCGGCTCTCCCGAGCCGAGAGTTGCTGCTGGCGCAGCCCCCAGCCGAAGCCCCCTGAGGCAGGGTTCGCCGACGGAGCCAGGGACATGGCGGCCCCTCAGGTAGCTGCCCGCCTGCTTGGCCCCTGTCTGGGAACGTTGTAGGTGGTGCGTTGTACGGGGACCTCGGCCCGGGGTGGTCGTGGGTGTAGCGGGCGGATTGCCCTCTTCAGGCCTGCGGCTCCTGCTGCTGAGAGAGAAGGGCGGTATGGCAGCGCGGGGCCGGAGGCTGGGGTAACCACCCTGTCTGGCCCACCTGCCTGGAAAAATGACCCACGCTGAGTGATTTGTGTTGGAGCGAGCCAGGTCTCGGTTGTAACGAACTGGAACAACGGCCCAGCTTTATGAAGAGGACTGGCGTTGCGCTGCGTGCGTGCAATAATCTAAAACCAGAATGTGCGTACAGGGAAGAAATGAGACGCACCATATTGATGTAAAGCTGTTCTTGCAAGTGCCCTGTATCCTTTGAACAAAATAATAAGCCGGCTCATTAGAAGGCAACCCCACCCTATTTGCAGCTTCTCCCTGTTAACAGCTTACAGTGCTGCTGGCTTTACAGAGAGAAGTGTTTGCTCCGAGGCTGAGCTTGGTTTGGACATACCCACTGGCAATCAGGACAGATGTGGGTGTATTACAACTATCCCTGAGAGTAAAACAAATTCTTAAAAGGAATTTCTCTTCCTGTGATTTCCATCGTAGTAGTTGAGATTCATCAAGTGCTGCTTCTGCAGGTATTTCCTCTGAGGTGCTCATGTTCCTTCATTATGTCTCTCCTGCATGAACATTTTGGCCTACAGATTTCTCCTCCCCTTTCCCAAAATAAGCCCCTTACAGGATTGGGTGGAATTTATGAAGCTGGCCTCTTAACTTAGCCAACTGGCCTTTGCTTAGGTTTGTCTACAGTTAATGGAAAGAGAAGGGTTTCTTCAGACATTAAGTGAAAGCACCTTAGGGTTTAGCTTTTTAATCTTCATCTGGTGGGGTCACTCTTGCTTCACTGAATACAACAATTTAAAGAGATGAGCAGGCTAACTCAGGCTGGTACCTAAAGTTAGTAGTTAAAAACACTTTCCGAGAGACCAGATCTGATCTCCAAACACTTTTTAGAGACCAGATACTTGATTCCCTCATCTTCCTTCAATGAAGTAAAACAAAGGGATTGTATGAACTGAAATACATGTGTACCGATCAGTGTTACCAGCCTGTCTTGCTGTGGAAACAGCAGGGTCATTTTGCCAGTGGGTTTCCTTCAGGAGATTCTTAGCTTTTTCAAAACTCAGGGCAAATGAACCTTTTTCATTTCTTGGAAAGTTTACTTTTACCATTTCCAGCTCCCAGTCCAATTATCTCCATTGTTCCTCTATGGCATAGAAACCAGAGCTGAACACGTGGGCCCTGTTGATGTGATCCTTGGTACTGAAGGGCAGGAAGGGCAACACAGTCTACACTCTCTTGAAGCTAATGCTGGCTCAGGTGGCTGCAAGCTGCCCTGAGGGATGTCCCCTTTCAGTCTTGCCACGGTGAATGAAAACGTTACTCTGCTCAGTTATCCACCTTGTTCAGTGTTGAAAGTTGCTGCTCCTGCAGCAGAGTCAGCAGAGGGAGAGCAGACCTGTACCTTGGCTGCTCCATCCTGTCGTCAGTTTGAATTTAACATGAAAAAGAGTCTGCACAAGGATGCCAAAGTGGAAACCAGACTGTCTACAGTGTGGGCATGGTAGCATTTCCAGCAGAGATGTATCAGAAAACTCAGGACAGCAATGTCTTAAAACACTGAAGCTGGGCGTGGGTCAAAGGCCTGGTATATGCTGGGTCAAACCATTCTTTAAACCATCTGTTTTGTCCTAATCTAAAACCATTTGCTTGGAAGTACAGAGCTGCCTGAGGTCTTTAAAGTTTTAAAGGAGCTTAAAATGAGCTGTCTGGGCTAGCAGCTAATACAACTTCCTGAGCTACCATTCTCGTTGTCTATGCCATGCCACAGATCCCATAGGATAATACGTGTTTTTCCTAACTGGGTGCAAAACACCGTGCAAGGCTACGGCTAATATTAAAAATCTAAAGTGAATCACATATTTGAACAGCCACAGGAAAATGTGTGCAAGTCCTGCAATAAAGCCTTTTGGCTATTTTATTTTATTCTACAAATAAAGACAACTCCATCATTAAATGGAAAAAAATAATAGTTTGAGTTGTATATAGCATGAAACAGTAGTTCCCGTCACAAAAACATTTCTAATTCATTAGTTTATTACAAAATATCCACTCACAAAAAAGCACAAGCACAATCTTTATACTTGTGAAATGAGTTGATATTTCATATACAAAATAATTTCCACATAATTCCATATAATTTTATTTTATATAGAAATAGGTCATATTACAACAGCTGTACAATACACTACTTTTTATTTAATAATTACATAAAATCTTTCTTAGAAACATATCAACAGAAAACATACAAAAAAAGCGAAAAGTGCATTTCTTTTTTTCCCCCCAAAGGAAAATTCAATCCTAAATGTTATAATGAAAGAGATATGTAATAGTCTGCAGCATCCCGAGTCAGTGGGCCAAAACACAGTGCATATTTCTCAGAGACTTGCAGTGGGTGAGTTTAGGTTGAAGAAGGATCCATGTTGTACTATTGGAGAGTTGCATGATTGTGCTTACAATTCGAGTTCTCCTTTGCAATCACAATTCAGAAAACAGTCCAGTGTGGGTTGTGGTTTTTCGTTGGTTTGGTTTTTAGTAATGAAGAACAATTAGGGTAAGCTGCATAATACTTTTCAGATTCTAAATCAAGGGTTATGAGCTGTAGACCATCTTCACCAATGACTGGGCTTTCTCCTCCATTGGATGTGCTAATTTGGCCACAAGAATAAGGAAACAAACTTCTCTTTACAGAAAGTGCCTAGGTTTTGTCCTCTGTGCAGTTGTGCAAAATAATAACAATAATCATAATAAAAATAATCTCTTGTTCTCTCCTCAATAGACCTTTGATGCAGTGCTTTTCATACACAAAAGAAGAACTGAAACAGTGAAGGCCAAGTACCTCATGAGTCTGTCGACAGTCTTTTGGAATTGCCAGCTAGCTTTCAGAGTGACACGCCAAGATTGAACGCCTCCTCCTGCACACCCATTGGTGATGGAGGCTGCACAGGATAGTGTTCCTTTTTATTTTGCTCTGTCAGTACGTACTGTACTCACGAGACAGCGCAGACTGAATCCAGCATGCCGTAAATGCACTGTCCGTGGCAGTCTGCACTCTGTGGCATACTTCTGTCATAGAGCTTTGAAAGAAATGCTTGTGCAAAAGCCAAAACAGTAAGTAGAAAGTCATTCTCTTCTGCCCCATGTGCCCATTGGTTAAAGCTAATCGTGCATCGATTGTGCTGGTGGGACTCTATCGCAGTGGCTGTGGTAAATTTGATGATTCTGATAAGCTATTGCTTCTTCTTGATGTTAGTTGCTGCTGCTGCTGCTGCTGTGTCTGATGATACCCCATATTTCCTTGCTGTGGTGAGTAAGATGGCAGGAGCAAAGAATCAGGTTGCTCATTGTGCAAAGAACTTGGTGTTTGCACCTACAGATAAAATAAAATTCATCGTGGTGTTCGAGTCTTTCACATGTTAAAGCTCTTAGTCCTCAATGTACAGTGTGCTTAAAAAATACTACTAGTTTGCTGGCTTTTATTTCTGGGGCTATTTGGCATGGGGTTAGCTTACCTAATGCTAGAAGAAATGGACATAAATTGCAACAAAGAACGTTACAGTTAGACACTGAGAAAGGTTTTCTAATAGGAATGCACTGCCCAGGATTTGCAGGTTATCCTGGAAAGCCTGTTTCGGAACAGGGTGGGTCAACGTGTCAGAAATGACAGGGATGGATGATAGAAATGAAACAGAAATGAAACAGGGGATCCTGGTGTACCACATGCTGTCCCTTCTAGCCCTTCCTTTTTGTGAGTTTACAGTAGGGTGTGACCTTGCAGTGGTGAAGTCGGTGTGAATTTTGCAGATGCTTTTACTTGGAATGGTATCTGCCATAGTTTTTCATTAATTCTCAGCTATGATAAGGATTTCATTTCAATAACAAGAGTTTAATCATTTGAGGTTGATGATGCTGTTTCAGTGATGCCAGTGGATGTATGATCAGGTTTTATAGACTCAGTTCAGCTCCTTTTGTGTTAATATAGAGACACCTCATCTACCCCCTTCCCCTTTACTTTAGTATGTGTTGAATTAGGTCAAAAAATAAGGATTTTTACATCTTCAAATCACCTGGTTCTTTCAGGCAATGTGCTCCAGTTTATCTTCTTTGCCTTGTGGAGTTGAGAAAATATGTTAATTTACTGAAGGGATCCAGATATCTGATCCAGATCTCATTTTATGTCAATGCTGGTAATTAAAAATCATCTTTTGACTTGTAAACTAAGCAAATTTTATACTGAATAAAAGGTACAGAATAAATCCTAAGGCAGCAATTTTCTCCCTCTAGAAATACACTTTAAATATAACCAGGATAATCTGATTATGTTTCCAGTACAGAATTAGCAATTTCCTTTTAAATATTCTGACTGTTCTCACTGCTCCCTTGCTATACTGGAAGGGTACACAGCACTGTATCAGTGTCTTGCACATTTCAGTATCTCTAAAATGGCCACTTCTGCCATGATCGGGCTCCCACTGAAACCTGGGGCCCCGTTTGCACAGCACATTTGCCTTATTACTCTGCATGCAGATTTTATACATCGTCCTCTTTGTCCTACCCTACCTGCAGGTAGCGTTGTTGCTGATGCTGTTGGTGCTGGAGTTGCATAGGTGGCAGAGAGGATGGCTGGGAAGGAGGTGTAGTGGCGAACCCTTGGTTTAACACTGCTTGTCCCATCAGTACGATTGGAGAGCTGCTGCTGGAAGTTTGCACTTCCAAACTTTGAAACATTTGTTGGGTTTGAGAATACCTGTGGAAGAAAGAAGCAAAACAATCAAGAACAAACTGTTGGAAGCAAAGGTCTTCTCTTAGGATAGGGATGGAAGTCCCTAGTCTTCATAAATAATTCCTAATAAAGTATTCCAGTGCACGGGACCTGATAATATGAACAATGGCACTGTTGGCAGCACTCTTTTCTCTTATTCTGTGCATGAGCTGGACTTGGAGGGCAGAATACATCTCACCTCAAAATCCAGACCACATTAAACCAAATGGCCTTTGATTCTGTATTAATATGCTGAGCTCCGAACTGCAGTGAGAGAGAAGTAAAGCCACCTCCCATTCTGCTGCCTGTGCTCCCCTGTGACTGCCTGTGGGGTGGTAATCTCTTGCAGAAAGATGGCTAGGGTTGATTACTTCTTAAGCTGCTCATATACATATTGCCAAGTATGGTCAGCAGTTCCTATTGCTGTGAGCCACATTGCAGGAACAGAAGAAGCCTCTAGAAGTCCTCAGGAGTGAGGGATGGGACAGAAACAAAATACTCGGCTCCTCTTGCCAGTCTGCGTTTGCACAGCAAAACTTAAATACGTGTTGTTTTGTGGAAGGCTGTGGGCAAAACCACAATGGAGCCATTGCCAACCCAGCCTAATTCTGTTTATCCTGTAATCGGTGATGAGATCATAGCGTGGCATGTGTTCGCTCAACAGCTGTTCAACATTAGGGGTTAGTCAGAAATGCTACAGTTTGGGTACTTGCACTAGGATGTGAGCTCCTAAAAAAGGGTCCTGTGAGTCAGGAAGTCCGCATGAACTGGGAGATGTATCTTTGCAAATCAGGCCTCTCTTATTTAGATGCTTAAAAGCAGATCTAAAATGCTGTATATTTAGAGTTGACAAATTTAACTCAAGATAATCTTAAACAGCAATAGTGATGTTTACAAAAAGTACTGAATACCTACATTTCTGAGGTAATATACAGAATTACTTTTAAAGTAATGATGTGCAAACAGTTGCCTATTATTTTAGCAGTTCGCAATTAAGTACAGTGACAAAAGACAGCTAAGAAAAAAAAGGCATATTCTGACTGATGTTTCCTGCTTCCTTCATCCAGATTTTGAGGAGACAAACAACAGAGGTGGTTTGTTCAGCAGCTTTTTTGAGAGCGCTCAGGTGCAGGGGCCTGTCGGTTCTTTCAGTTCTGCTGGTGCAGATCAGGCATAGCTCCACCAGTGTCTCACTGCTCAGAGAGCAGGGGCTTTCTTGGCACCGGTCATTTCAACCGGGCCAGGGCTGACTTTCTCTCTCTCACGTTTACCTTGGTGGGGCAGAAGTTCCAGCGCTGAAGCAAGCATCATGTGAGGGAGAGAATTTCCCCCAGCCTTGGCTTGTTAAAACACCACTGGCACATTGTGTCTCTGTCATTCTTCCAGATGTGACCAGGCAGGGTAAGGCCGACCCTGACAGTAGAAGGCAGGCTCAGCGCAATAACACGTTCCCGCTATTTATAACTACTTTGTCATCTGACTAAGGAAGGCTGTTTCCCCTCAGAAGCAACTTTGATGTTTTATTTTGGACAAGTCACATACTTAGTCTGGGATCCCGCCATGCTGAGGTCTGAAGGGTGTCTTGCGTTACAGGATCCAGGCATCATGGGCTGAATAGGCTGGCTGAGCAACAGTCTGGGGCGTGGAAAAAAGAAAAAGACACATTGGTGTTACAGAAGGACCACACAAATCCCACGTTTTGAAGACAGAAACAGGACGCTTTTGTTGGCACGGTGTAAAGCTGAGTATTAGAGGTCTAATCTCAGCTCCTGGCTGTGGTGGGCACGTCCTGGGCGCTGCGAGGTGGAGACCGGGGCAGTGCGTGCCCGCTCCGGTAACGTGGGTGCCTTGCGGAGGCGCTGGGTGCTAGGATTTCAGGAGAGTGAAATTTCTTTTGCTCCCGCTGGTGGGAATGACCCGTATCGGAGCTTTCTGAGTACCGGAATGCGAATTTTTGGGGGTTCCCACGCCTGGCTGGACGCCAGAGTGGATCCTCCACCGCCCGCCCCGGGGGAGCCCGAGACGGCGAAGGAAGAGCGGAGCCATCCCACCACCCCGGGCCCGGGAGGTACAGCCTTGGGCCGGCGGGGCCTGGCTGTCCCTCGGCCCCCTCCGCCCCCCCCGGGTGGGCCCGTACCTGAGCTGCTGGTCGTGGCTGCAGCCGGGGGCGGG